GAAAATCCACTAACAGGGACTGGTTCAGGATGGTAAGCTGAGGACACACACTTAACTCCTTCTTACCAACTCCCACTGAAGTGATTAAAGGAATACAAGGAAATTCTGTAGTAGTACTAGAAATGAGGAAAAAGGTTAGTACCTCAAAATCAAACTGTGAGCAAGTAAAACTGAGTCATAGAAAGACAAATTCATAATCTCTTATATGTGGAACACTAAAAAGAAAATCAAACATTAAAAAAGAAAGGTTACCAGAGGTAGAGGGTGGGGAAGGGAGAACTAGAGGAAGATAGTTAAAAGGTACAAACTTAGAATTAAAAAGTACTAGGCTGTGATAACCTATGTAAGAAAAGAATCTAAAAAAGAATGAATACAAGTGTGTGTATAACTGAATCTCTGCTGTAAACATGAAACACAACATTTAAATCAACTCTACTCCACACAGCTGTGTGGTACGTAGGAAAGTTAAGAGAGTAAGTCCTGAAGAGTTCTCATCACAAGAGTATTTTTCCTTTTTTTCTTTTTATTGTATATATTTGGGAAGACAGATGTTAGTTAAAACTATCGTGGTCATCATTTCACAAAATATGTAAATCAAATCATCATGCTGTATGTCTTCAACTTAAACAGTGATGTATGTCAATTATTTCTCAATCAAGCGGGGGAGGGGGAGATTAAGCCATTGAAATGAACCCCAACAGAAGCCCATTACCATCCCACACGTGCACCAGTGAAAGCTGGACAAATAAGTCCAGCTTATTTGTCCAGCCACAAATAATGATGTCAAGACAGTCTCTGTGCATTGTGAACCTCCTTACTTCCTTTAATGCTACAAGGGACAATTTCAGAATTATGGGTTTTTTTACTTTGCCAGTGAAGGTCTACATGCTGTGGGGAACAGGGTGAGGGCTGCTCACACTTCCACACTAAATGAAGCAATGCACAGCCTGAACTGGCAACTGAAGGGCATAACCATGCCAATCAGGAAAGGGGCACTGGCCAGCCAAATTCATGTTGCCACAACAGAAAAGAAAGTCTCTGGACATGGTTGCCCAAATCTCACACACATACAAGAACCTCTAATCTGACAAAGTAAATCTTCCACTCAATCTAAACTCTCCCCTTTCCCTTTATAGAGTGTGCTTTTTAAGATTTGCACAGGGGACTTCCCTGGTGGTCCAGTGGCTAAGAATCCGCACTTCCAATGCAGGAGGTCTGAGTTGGATCCTTGGTGAGGTAACTAGATCCCATACGCCACAACTAAAGATCCTGCATACCACAACAGAGATCAAACTGTCGCAACTAAGACCCGGTCACAGTCAAATAAATATTAAAAATATAATTCACGAACCTACGGACACTTTATCTTCGACAAAGGAGGCCAGAATATACAATGGAAAAAAGACCACCTCTTTAACAAGTGGTGCTGGGAAAACTGGTCAACCACTTGTAAAAGAATGAAACTAGAACACTCTAACACAATACACAAAAATAAACTCAAAATGGATTAAAGATCTAAATGTAAGACCATAGACTATAAAACTCCTAGAGGAGAACACAGGCAAAACACTCTCCGACATAAATCACAGCAGGATCCTCTATGACCCACCTCCCAGAATATTGGAAATAAAAGCAAAAATAAACAAATGGGACCTAATGAAACTTAAAAGCTTTTGCACAACAAAGGAAACTATAAGCAAGGTGAAAAGACAGCCCTCAGATTGGGAGAAAATAATAGCAAATGAAGCAACAGACAAAGGATTAATCTCAAAAATATACAAGCAACTCCTCCAGCTCAACTCCAGAAAAATAAATGACCCAATCAAAAAATGGGCCAAAGAACTAAACAGACATTTCTCCAAGGAAGACATACAGATGGCTAACAAACACATGAAAAGATGCTCAACATCACTCATTATCAGAGAAATGCAAATCAAAACCACAATGAGGTACCATTATACGCCAGTCAGGATGGCTGCTATCCAAAAGTCTACAAGCAATAAATGCTGGAGAGGGTGTGGAGAAAAGGGAACCCTCTTACACTGTTGGTGGGAATGCAAATTAGTACAGCCACTATGGAAAACAGTGTGGAGATTTCTTAAAAAGCTGGAAATAGAACTGCCATATGACCCAGCAATCCCACTTCTGGGCATACACACCGAGGAAACCAGATCTGAAAGAGACACGTGCACCCCAATGTTCATCGCAGCACTGTTTATAATAGCCAGGACATGGAAGCAACCTAGATGCCCATCAGCAGACGAATGGATGAGGAAGCTGTGGTACATATACACCATGGAATATTACTCAGCCATTAAAAAGAATTCATTTGAATCAGTTCTAATGAGATGGATGAAACTGGAGCCCATTATACAGAGCGAAGTAAGCCAGAAAGATAAAGACCATTACAGTATACTAACACATATATATGGAATTTAGAAAGATGGTAACGATAACCCTATATGCAAAACAGAAAAAGAGACTCAGATGTATAGAACAGACTTGTGGACTCTGGGAGAAGGCGAGGGTGGGATGTTTCAAGAGAACAGCATCGAAACATGTATATTATCTAGGGTGAAACAGATCACCAGCCCAGGTTGGGTGCATGAGACAAGTGCTCGGGCCTGGTGCACTGGGAAGACCCAGAGGGATCGGGTGGAGAGGGAGGTGGGAGGGGGGATCGGGATGGGGAATACATGTAAATCCATGGCTGATTCATGTCAATGTATGACAAAAACCACTACAATATTGTAAAGTAATTAGCCTCCAACTAATAAAAATAAATGGGGGAAAAAAATATATATATATGTGCACGGGTACCCATATAATTTGAAGAAAACTGATTTCAACTACCTGAGCCAAAAAAATAATCCTAAGCAACCATGAATAAATACCCTTCAGATCCCCTGGTGGAGAACATCACTGACCGATGGTCCCACTGGCTGCCCCTCTGGATCTACAGATCCACCCCAACCTTCACTTCCAGGGGACTCTTTCTAGCCGAAGGGTGCAGTGGGATAGTAAGGCAGGCCCGTTCAGCGAGATGCTGGATTCCACAGATGACTGTGGCTTGAAAACTCTCCACGTGCTTGGCCCAACCTTCCTTGGACTATAGTCTGAGACTCTTCCTACCTAACCCTCCTTTGTTCCCTCTCCTTCTATGGTATCAAACCTACACCTGAAGCTTCTCCCTTGCCTTCTCCTACACGAGTTCCCAGCCCCCAACATGCTTCTTGTATAGCTAACCTTATCCTAGAAGACCTAAATGTATACACACGAGCCACACTAAAAGACTGAAAAACTATAAGGAAATCAATTTGAGGAATTAGAGGAAAGATGCCCTTATGAAAGAGAAACAGAAAACATAGAAGATTCCAAAGCATATGCATATGAAGTTTCAAGAGAACATATTTAAAAACAGAAGCAAGTAAGCATGGACTAACCTGAAAGTAAGAAAGATTTTCTAAGGGAAAAGCCTAGTTGTTTACAAATCCAAGAGTGGTAAACAGCAGATTGGATATGGCAAAAATCAGGTTCCATGCAAACAATAAAGGCAATAATCAAATAATAGGAAAATAATGGTGTAAAATTAAAAGGCCAGTCTTTACACTGCAAAAAAAGTTACCTAATACTAAGAAATATTAAGGAAGAGACCATACCTAGAAATAACATGGTGACATTTTAAAATTTAAAGCATAAAGAAAAAGCAGTATCCAAGGAAAAAATTCACATTAAGAAACTCAAAATAGAATCAAAAGCTTCTCTACTGCAATATTATATCCCAGAAAAAATAGCAAATATCTACTGTTTTTAAAGAAGATTGTAAACTAGGATTTTATATCCAGTCAAGGTTATCATATATGCAAAAGTAACAGAAAAACACTGCCCGATTGTGAGGGTTCAGAAAGTGCACCATCCATCCACTCTTTACCGAAAAAAAAAAAAGGCAATTCCCTGGCAGTCCCATGGTTTGATTCTGCACTTTCACTGCTGAGGGCCTGGGTTTCAATCCCTGGTCTGGGAATGAAGATCCTACAAGCCATGAGGCACAGCCAAAAATAAATAAATAAACAATAATAAAAATGGAAAACAAAAACTTGAAAAGCTATGTACACTCCTATATTAATTATAGCATTATTTATAATAGCCAAGATATGAAAACAACTTAAGTACCCATAAATGGATGACAAACGAATAATATATGCAATGGAATATTATTCAGCCATTAACAAAGAATTAAATTTTGCTATTTTCAGAATATGAATGGATCCTGAGAGCACTTTGCTCAGTGAATTAAGTAAGATACAGACAAATACTGTATGACCTCTCTTACATGTGGAATCTAAAAAAAAAATTTTTTTTTTTTAAAACCCAAACTTCATAGATATAGAGAAATGATTGGTGGCTGTCAGAGGCAGGGAGTACAGGATGGGAGAAATGCATAAACTATTTTTTTTTAGTTAATTGAACAAAAAAAATTTGCTAATTAGACAACATACTTCTAGATAATCCATGGGTCAAAGAAGACTTCACAAGAAAGTGAGAAAATATCTAAAATTGAATGAAAATGAAAATACATTAAAAATTCTGAGATGAAGTCAAAATAGTGCTTAAAGAAAAACTCACAGCTTTAAATATTTACACTAGACGAAGTCTAGTCAGTGACTTGGTATGTACCTTAAGAAGAAAAACATAAAAGACCAAAGTAAACCCAAGCAAAGTATAAGAAAGGATAAAGGGTAGAAATCAATGAAATTAAAAGCAATTAAGAAAAAGCAACAAAGCCAAAAGGTGTTTCTTTGAGAACAGATCAACAAACAATGAACTCCTACCTAGACTGATCAAGAAAAACAGAAATTACCAGTATGAGAATAAAAAAGAAATTACCACTACAGCTCCTACAGATATTAAAAGATAGAAAAGACTATATTACAAATAATCTTATGTCCATAAATCTTTGAAAGTACAACTTATCTAAAAGACACAAAATGAAACCCAAACTGTGAATAGCCCTATATTTATTAAAGAAATGAGCTATAAAAAAAAGCTTCCCACAAAAAAAAATCTTCAGGCTCAGATAGTTTCACAAATTAATTCCATAAATCTAATAATGAAAAAGAGGATAGTTAAAGCTGGATTATTAAAAAGTCACCTTTAATAGCAAAAGGAATAACGTTCAAGGGTCAACATTATACAGGTTATAAGCACTAGACTATAAAGAAACAGAAAATCAGCTCTGATGAAGTTCATTTCTTCTTCCCTTTTGAAGGCTTGGCAAATAAAGCTGGATCAATCTGCCCCTTTGCCAGTCCCCTGACAGAGAAGAGCCTCGCTGCCCGCTCCTGCAGAGTGCCCCCACACTTCAGTCCCCGGGCCATGAGTTCACACTTGAGCTTCTCTAAGCCCAGCAACTCCATTTCCGCAACAGAACTGATTGCCAGTAAATCTAAAGTTTCCTGACTGTTATCCTGAGAAAAAGAAAAAAAAAGAGAGAGAGAAATTTTAAGTAAGTCCATTCCTTTGTCTCTAATTAAAACTTTCTTCAACTGTCATTGACATCCTATTTTTCAAGAAATTTTCATTTAATATGCCGTATCTTACTATTGAATGCTAATAATCATGTTATTCTATGCATGTTCTCAATTCAAGTAAACATTAATTTTTTTATCTATATACTTAGAAACAGGTATGCAGAACAACATAAGTTATAAGATTCCAAAACAGATAAATCTTAATATGAACATAACTTTTCTTTTTTGACTCATCCAGTAAAAATGAAAACAGCAAAACATACTTCACCTACCTCGCCTACCCTTCCCACTATGACTGAAGAAAAAAGCAGCTTCATTTTAATGAGAATCCTATGCCTATGAATCTACTGATATTAACCCCATCATCTTTTTAAAAAATATTTATTTGGCTGCATCAAATCTCAGCTGTCAGACATGGGACCTTCAACACTGTGGCGTGAGGGATCTAGTTCCCTGGCCAGGGATGGAATCCAGGCCACTGCCCTGGGAGCATGGAGTCTTAGCCACTGAACCACCAGGGGAAGTTCCCCAACCCCATAATCTTAAGCTTTCTATTCTAATCAAATAATCATGATTGTCAAAGTTCTCACTTAAATAACTTGACAAATTTAAATGCTGTTCAAAAGACCTGCAAATGTTTTATCGACCAAGTAACTTTATAGACTTACACAAAATTAAATATTTCTAATGACAGATGCTCTGCCAAGAATGAAAGTGTTCATCTAGGGTTTTTTGGGGTTTTTTTGCTGCACTGAGTCTTCATTGCAGCACATTGGCTTTCTCTAGTTGTGGTGCCAAGGGCTTAGTTGCCCCCAGGCGTCTGGGTTCTTAGTTCCCCAACCAGGGACTGAACCCACATCCCCTGCACTGGAAGGGGGATTCTTAACCACTGGACCAAAAGGCCCCTCACCTAGGAGTTTTTTAAAAAACATATTCAGTTCAGATCAGTTGCTCAGTCGTGTCTGACTCTTTGCAACCCCGTGGACTGCAGTATGCCAGGCATCCCTGTCCATCACCAGCTCCCGGAGCTTGCTCAAACTCATATCTATCGAATTCGTGATGCCATCCAACCATCTCATCCTCTGTTATCCCCTTCTCCTCCACCTTCAACCCTTCCCAGCATCAGGGTCTTTTCAAATGAGTCAGTTCTTCACATCAGGTGGCCAAAGTATAGGAGCTTCAGCATCAGTCCTTCCAATGAATATTCGGGACCGATTTCCTTTAAGATTGACTGGTTGGATCTGCTTGTAGTCCAAGTAATTCTCAAGAGCCTTCTGCAACACTACAGTTCAAAAGCATCAATTCTTCAGTGCTCAGCTTTCTTTATGGCCCAACTCTCACATTCATACATGACTACTGGAAAAACCACAGCTTTGACTAGACAGACCTTTGTCGGCATATTCAAAAGATAATAACTCTCTCTCTCTCAAAAAAAAAAACTCTCTCAAAGTTAAGTTGTTTTTAAAAAAATATTGAACAACTCTATAGATAGATTCTTTATCTTTTTTTTAAAAGGGTTATTTTGTTAGATTTCTAGAGTGACTCTTGACTTCTTTATATTAGGCCAAATCCTAACCCACCATGTGTCTTTGGAGAATCACACATGGCTGCACAGAATTACTATGAATACAACAGTTACAACTACATCAAGAACAAAATTTCCACAGTTAAAAGCTCAAAGATCAAAAGTCAAATCAGGTTTTATTCTATTTTCCTTTTTCATTTTTTTAAAACTTTGCTCAGGATAAACTCCTAGCATGTATGAATTACATAAAAGCTGACATTCTTATAACTCCAAAGATGGTGTGAGGGTCAATTTAAAGCCATTAGCTCAAAAAATTTCACTATCTCCCCTAGAAAGAGCAATATATGCATTTCTGCTTATTTCCTGGGAGTAGGGAAGGTGCTTTAAATAAATAATGGTAAGCTTTGTGTTTATCAAAGGAAGCCAAGTCAGGTTTCATCTGCCCTAAAAAAGAAATCATTAGACTGAAAAACAAACGTTAAAGATTTTTGCTGGAAGTCCATCCATTGAAGAGAGCAAATAACTATTTAAGGGAAAGCATGCATAATGAAAATAAGTTTTTAAAAAGCTGAGTGTAGGGCTGAAGATTTAATGATAAATTTAAAAGGAACTGCTCTTCTTCTGCAGGAAAGGTCTTCACATCCAACTGACAACTGTGTTCAAACAGTAACTCATCTGAGAAAGAAAAACTAACGAGAAATGTAGTGATAGGAAAATGAGCACATTTCATCAAATCTAAAAGTGACATCTATCATAATATGCCTTACTACTGCCTGTATTACTAAGAAAGAATAAATAATATCAAGTAAACTGTAACGTGATGTATATCCAAACTCAGAGATACTAAAATGTGAAAAATGTGCATCTTAGAATTGATGAAATATAGAACCAAGGATACCACCTAGTGGCAAAATAATACCAATTCCACAGCTTAAAAACAAAAAATCCAAGGATTTTTCTTTTGGCGGGTGCGGTAGGGGGGAGATACAACAAGCTTCACTATCATCGACTATTGATTATTAAACAAGCCTTTCCACTAAGCAGCTGATGGGGAAAAGCACATGTTTCATTTTAATGACCTACTGCAGAGATTAAATTGACTTGGCTTTAACATGGAACTCTGCTCAGTGTTATGTGGCAGCCTGGATGGGGGGGATGGGGGGGAATGGATACATGTATATGTATGGTTGAGTCCCTTTGTTGCTCTCCTGAACTTATCAAAAACTGTTGATCTAGTATACCCCAACACAAAATAAAGGTTTAAGGAAAAAAAACTGACTTGGCTTTAGACATCGACTCCTAAAATTTACTTACCATGTTTCCTGACTGGCTGGCCTCCAGCTTGGCAACAGCAATGTTTTGCCTATCTTCTCCAGGTGCTCCCTTGGCAGCCCTTTCCCCATCAGTCATTTCTTTTGTTTCTTGCTCAGTATTCTGTCCAACTCCAGCTGCTTCCTTTTCTAAGGGTTCTTTACCCTCTGCCTCCTTTTTCTCCCGGGTGTTCTCTGTTTCTGCAGACCTCTTCCTTTCCGTGTACTCCTGGGTAGGTGTCTCCCCCAGCTCAGCACGCAAGTCTTCTGAAATACTGTTCCCAGAGTCAGTCAAAGGGCTCTGTAGTTTTTCTGGTGATCTACAATCTGTACTCAATACTCTCGCCTGCTGAGAACTACTAGGAATTTCAGCTGCCATGTCAACTCCATCACAGCCATTTTGAGAAACATGAAAGCTCATTCCAGAAGTACTAGGTGCTTCTTCACTGTCGTCATCAGAGTACTCAGAGCTGGACCCCTCTGCAGTCCCGAGTCCTTCCATGCCCATCCTATCAGAAAGTGACAGAAAGATTTAATGCCATTTACAGCTTCAACTTAAAAAAAGAGAGAGAGCGCTGCAGTTAGTCCAGGAAACAAACTCTGAATAAGGATATCTGCTAGTCTGAGATGGAGATGGAGAGTAGGCAAGTTTCAGAACAAGATATCCCAAAGGTATAAACAGAAGGAAAAAAAAAATTCAGTGAGACTGAGAGCAACATTCCAAAGATCCTAAAGATCTCTCTTTAAAACATGTGACACTCTTTAATTGATTTTGCTTAAAGCTTTTTTCCTAATACTGTATGAATTTTAACTGTTGGAAATTAGATAAAATAATGAACAGTTAAAAGAAAATCCAGTTTTATTCATAATCACCCAAAACTGGAAAATACTCAAATGTCTAACAACTAAAGAATGGATAAACAGGTTGTGATACAGCCATACCAGGCAACACACTTGCCAGTAGAAAGGAATGAACTACTGATACATATAACACCATATAACACCATCTATGGGTCTCAAAAGCATTATGCTAAGTGAAAAAACAAGGCCCAGCCCTTCCTGTAACAATGAAGGGCTGTGTCTTCTGGGAGTGTCCACGTTAATCCACCTCTTGGAGCTAAATGTAATCTGCTACTTAGTCACTGAAGACAGGAGTAAGAGGCAGGGTGAGGGGAAGGACTCTTGGTTAATATCTCCATTATCTAGCAGACAGTTTTAAGCTATAACCATGGGTCTATATGTGCATTTTTGTAAGGTATCTATGTTTATTGTAGACAAGGTACACTATTTTACAACATCGAGGCTTTCTAGATGTCCAGAGGTGACACAATGTATGATAAAAAGTAGAGCTGCTGAATTAACCAATCTAAATATTTTTGTTATAATTGATTAAACAAACAAAACAAAAAACATCTTGAATATGGATTAAACCATCTCTGAGGAATATATGCCAGGACTTGTTCATTTAGGAAGGCAGCACAGGAACAGAGGAAGGGAGGGATGTACATGGATGTGTTCATATTTATATTTTGATGATAACCACTGATGTGTGGAGCACAAGCCGGAATCAAGATTGCTGGGGAAAATATCAGTAACCTCAGATATGCAGATGACACCACCCTTATGGCAGAAAGCGAGTAAGATCTAAAGAGCTTCTTGATGAAAGTGAAAGAGGAGAGTGAAAAAGTTGGCTTAAAACTCAACATTCAGAAAACTATGATCATGGCATCTGGTCACATCACTTCAAAGCAAATAGATGGGGAAATAATGGAAACAGTGACAGACTTCATTTTGGGGGGCTCCAGAATCACTGCAGATAGTGACTGCAGTCATGAAATTAAAAGACACTTGCTCCTTGGAAGAAAAGCCATGACCAACCTAGACAGCATATTGAAAAGCAGAGACATTGCTTTACCAACAAAGGTCCCTCTAGTCAAAGCTATGGTTTTTCCAGTAGTCGGGTATGGATGTGAGAGTTGGACTATAAAGAAAGCTAAGCACCAAAGAATTGATGCTTTTGAACCGTGGTGTTGGAGAAGACTCTTGACAGTTCCTTGGACTACAAGGAGATCCAACCAGTCCATCCTAAAGGAAATCAGTCCTGAATATTCATTGGAAGGACTGATGCTGAAGCTGAAATTCCAATACTCTGGCCACCTAATGGGAAGAACTGACTCATTTGAAAAGACCCTGACGCTGGGAAAGGTTGAAGGCAGGAGAAGAAGGGGATGACAGAGGAGATGGCTGGATGGAATCACCAATTTGATGAATATGAGTTTGAGTAGGCTCCAGGAGTTGGTGATGGACAAGGAAACCTGGTGTACTGCAATCCATGGGGTCACAAAGAGTCGGACACGACTGAGCAACTGAACTGATTGATGTGTGTGCATCTCCTGGCTGTATTACAGGAATGCACTGTTAAGTAATTCAGTGGAAACATACCTCCTTGCTAATGCTTTAATAGTTTAGATCTGATAATGAATGCTCTTAGAAGCATTAAAAAAAAAGAGAGAGAGACACAAAAAGCTATATGACATTCCAGAAAAGATGAAACCACAGGAACAAACATCAGGCTAGTGATCAGTGTTTGCCAGGGGTGGTGGTGGGGGGAGGAAAATTAACTGCAAAAGGACACAAGGGAACTTTTGAGGCTGACAAAAATATTCTACAGGTTGATTTTGGTGATGCTTACATAATTATGTAGTATAAACTTTTCAAAACTTGTAGAACTGTTTAAAAAGGGTCAATTTTACTGTATATAAATTATGTATCAATAAACCTGGCTTAAAAAAAGAGACCCACAGGAAATACCATTACCTTTTCTCTCAGGAACATTTAATTTCCATTTCAGAAAGAACACAAAAAATTCTATGCTGGACTGAGCTAAATAGTGTTTAGTTAACGATTACCTTTCTATCCCCAAAGGGGAAGCCAACAAACAATCCAAGATCCAACTCAACTTATCATCACCTAGAACTTGGCCCAAGAGAACGAAGCTGGTAACCAGAGGACCAATGGGAAGGCAGGAGGAGCTAAGAGTAAAAGGGGTAAGAAAAAGTACTGCTGTGCTTTTCACCCACAAGCGCAAAAGTGGTGGAGAGAGGTCTGGAAAGGTGACCAAAGACCTCAGTGATGACTATGAAAAACCACAGAAAACAGAACAACTTGGAAACTAAAGTCATGGCTTCCCCTTGGAATTTTGAAAGTTACCTCTTTCAACACCTAATAGTAAGTCAAGTATAAAACTATTTCTTGTGTGATTTTTCACTGAAGGCAAACTGTCCCTTAGACTCTATTAATGGCACTTCTGGCAGAAACCATTACTAATGTGTATAATGTGAGAATCGCTGAAACCTGATCTGAAACACTCTGGAAAATTTCTAAGCTTCCATTAGACTTTACTTAAAAGTGTGTTTATACCAGATAAGACAAGGAAGAAATATAGTAGGTAAGTTTCAGAACAAGATATTCTAGAGGGATAAACACAAAGAAAAAAATATTTTTCTTCAGTCCTCAAAGATCTATTTGGAATGAAAATGAACATACTTACCAAAAGCATTTCCTTTTCCCTGCACTGGGTCCTCCGTCTGTTTTTGATGTGTTTGGCCGTTTCCGACTCTCACCGATTTCTGCCGATACCATCTTGCTAGAGGCAGCCTGCATGCCTAGCCACAAATTTTAACAACTCAGTTTCTACTATCAGGACTAAGTTTAATTAAAGAATTTCTAAATAATCTGGATTGCAAAAAGAGCTGCAATCTAAAGCTCTAGATTTAAATTTCTTAGCATGCCAAAATTTAATCCAGTTAAAATGAGACTAATCCTAAATTTACAGATTTAAAATAAGCATATTGGCTCTTGAACCAGATTTTTAAAGCACCATGTCCAATTTGTAACTTTGAAGCTTACAGATCCATTCCTAACACTCCTCAAACCTAACAATTCACCCCCTTAAGCCCCTTATGCATCCCCTTATTTGCATACAACTATCTTTCCCCTATTATGTTATAACCCTTTTGATGGAAAAGACTCCTCCTTATCCAACTGAATACACAATAGTCCTAGCATAATGCTTTTGATGCTAAAACATAAAAGCTAAGAATAATCATTCCCATTAAAAACCATTTAATAAAAAGGGGACCTAAAACTGAAAGCAAATATGTGGGATTCTTGGTACCTCCTGAAGACTTAGCTTATTCCCAGGAAACACAAAAAGCATTCTTACCTGGGGCCCATGAGCCCCCAGAGCTCAGGGATCAACTATGTCAAATGTTGTGTGGATATGTGGGTTTTTCCCCTCCGTGTAATAAGGCATACTGTGTTCATTACTGACTGGGGAAATTTCATAGCTTCATCAGATTCTCATTAAGTCTGTAACCTAAGAAGGGTCAAGAACTGCCTTGGTGTGCAACAGCTGGCTTTCAGGATGCCTGCAGCTGGCACTAAGGAACCCCCTCCTCACCTTTGAGGACAGAGTCCTCCAGGCGCTCGGCCATCTCATGGCACTGCTGCTGGTAGTCGGGGCTGGAGAAGCAATGCCTGGGTTCTGCAAGCTTCCGCTGCAGTCGTTCCAGGCGCTTTTGCTCCTTTTCAGCTTCTCGCTCAGCTTGTTGTTTTACCCATTCAGCCATTCTGGGGATGGGAAAGAGGAGATGTAACTAAATGGCTAAATTATACACATAGACTTTTATATAGATAACACCCCACTTATACAAATTACTGCACTCTTATTCACACTGTGATAGTCCCTCAGAAAGGTGTGCCATGCTTATTAGCATACTGTTATGGATTTGACTAAAACCCAAAGCTAATTATTCAATCATGAAAAAGGTTAAGTCTGGTAACAACAAATTAGAGCATAAGAATTTTAAGTTTACATTTCTGATATGTGTGGTGTGTGTGCCATCACTAATGACAGAAAACTACATCTCTTTAAAAAACAAAACAGGTGGGCATCTTACGCTTTTTCATGATTGACATCTCGTAATCTCCTTCCACTGAGATCCCGGCAAGCCTCTCGATTGGTTGTCTTTTCAATCTGAGCCCCGAGTGCTCGGAGCATTGAGCCAAAACCTAAACAAATATATTTGGAGAAAGCAGGTTAAAAAGTATTCAAGAATGGTCAGTTCTATGAGGAGGATGAAACTGGAGCCTATTATATAGAGTGAAGTAAGTCAGAAAGAAAAACACCAATACAGTATATTAACGCATATATATGGAATTTAGAAAGATGGTAATGATGACCCTAAATACAAGATAGCAAAAGATACAGAGAACACTTTTTGACTCTGTGGGAGAAGGCAAGGGGGGGTTAATTTGACAGAATGGTATTGAAACATGTATATTAGCATATGTGAAATAGATGACCATTCCAAGTTCGATCCATGAAACAGGGCACTCAAAGCCAGTGCAGGGGACAACACAGAGGAATGGGATGGGGAGGGCGGGTGTTCAGGACTGGCGGACACATGTATACCTGTGGCTGATTCAGTCGTTGTATGGCAAAAACCACCACAATACTGTAAAGTAATTAGCCTCCAATTAAAATAAATAAATAATTTTTTTTTAAGTATTCAAGGATGGACAAAAGCCGAACTTGTGAAAAGAGTATTATTATATTATAAGATTATCACAAGAGTAAAGGTGATCTCTATTTTCTTTTCGGTTTTAAAGGAAATGCACATCAAGATTCTAACCCAGGTAGCAAAGGTAAGAATACTGATAAACATGATTCAATCTTGTGCTTTTCACACTTTCTCTTATACTTCTGCAATATTGTACCTGCACCACTGGGATATTTTAAGAGGGCTATACCTAGTGACAGAAATCCCCAAATTCCACAATTAGGAATTTTAAAGATTATATGATGAGATTTTGCAATAAAGCAATTTTAAGCTGTCACTGGCTGACGCAACGAGCTTCATATTGACAGAATTTCAAGCAGCAGGATGACTGTAATCTGAGATGTTAGTTCTTTGAAAACTAAACCGAGTTACCACAAATTTTGAGAAAGCTTAAGAATTATATGTTAGTCCATCAGGAGAAATACCAAGAACTGTTCATATTCAGTTTTTGCTTTTAGTTTTTTTTTTCTCTAAGATGAGTTACTACAACCAGGACCTTAATCTACCTCAATCCGTAAACAGCTGTATTTCATAAAGTGATGTCAGACTTCCCGTGGAACTAGAATAACCAAACAAAATGCTGAGAACAGCAAAAGGAGATTTGATTGTTCTAACATTCATCAGCAAAATGGACAGAACAGCCATCATCTCTCTTCATCTAATTCTCCCCAATGACTGAGCACCTAGGGTGCCTAAGAGTGATCTGGCTGGGCTGGAGAAGGTGGGAATTTTATCATACTGTATCTTTCTCAAAAAAAATAAAAGAGAAAATATTCAAAATTAGGTAAATTAACAAAGTACTTCATAAGACAAATCAAGGCTGGTACACTACAGAGACCAAGGAGTTTGTTAATTTAATACGTCTGGCTACAGAATGCAGATATGTTACTACTAAGCTGTCAACATTCACATCTTACCTCCTTTTCCACCACGAAGTCTGGGTTCCAAACTATAAACAGCTCCATGCTGCACTGTGTCACTGGTGTTAACAAGTGATCCATTGCACTTCACAAAGAAGCATTCCACTGGAACAACCTAGAGACAAGTGAGGGGTTCTTTCAATGCTGTTAATGAGACAAGTTTTTTTTGCAGGAAGAGACCTAGCTTATTTTTTATTATTTCAATTACAAGCAGATAGTAGATGTGATCAGTTAATATCTGCTGAAATGAAAAAAATGAATAATCACTAAAAGAAAAAAGTCATTTTATATGATGTATTCTAGGTACAACTTCTTCCTAATACTTATCTAATCATGATATAAAGAACTTTTTGCCTCTTGGGTGAAAACTAAAACTGCTCTTTCTCATTCTCTAATAGGAAATAGGAGTCAACGTGGAAGATTACAGGGGCTCAGATCTAGTAACTCTGACAGTCCCATTTCCTCTGACTTTTAAAAATACCAAGCTGAACATTGAGTGGCCCCAAATTTAAAAGTGACATCTTGAAAAGTGTAGATAGGGATAAGAAGAGGGGAGAGGAGGAGACCAAAAATATGGTTTTTAATATACTTACATAAGCTTTAACAGTTTTAGAATCAGCTGGCAGTTGGTAATTAATTTCTTCTGCCAGCGTCTCCCTGAGTTCCAGCCAATCAATGAAGAAGCCCACATACCCCTCCAAACCCACTCTATGTATTTCAAAAAAATTCTCAGATCAAGTGACAAAAAGAAAATATAAATACCCTAAGGTTTTCTAAACAAGTTTCTTTTTTTTTTTAGCCGCAACACTTGGCACACAGGATCTTGGCTCTCAACCAGAGATCAAACCCACACCCTCTGCAGTGGAAGCTCAAAGTCTTAACCACTGGACTGCCAGGGAAGTCCCTAAACAAGTTTCTGATGCCATAAAATAACACAGCAGAGGACTATTGTCCAAAGTTACATGGAACTTATAGGAGGTTATATAGGAGGTTGGCAATTACATCTGCAACATGAAGAATAAAGAGATCTAAATACAAATAGAAAGGAAAAAGGCATTTCTGGCACCTTCCTGAAGTGGAAACTATGAACATTCATTCTGAGGCACATCACACAGCTATTTTAATGGGACCCATTCCTTCACTCAGCTGCCTACTATGAGCGTGGTACTTTTCAAGTGTTGGAATACTACCATGAATACCATAGTGAATGCAAATCCTGCCTCATGATGCTTATATTCTAGTGGGGGAGGACAAATTATGAACAAACATATATTATGTTTGATGTAATTATATAACTGACAAATTATATATTATGTCAAGTGGTGATATGCAGGGTAAAGGGGGTTAAGATATGTGAATAGGTGTGGTGGTAATCTAGTTAATCTATATGGTCAGTCAGAGAAAGCAGACAATTTAAGAAAGTGAGAGAATAAGCCATACGGTGGTCTGGAGGAACAGCATTCCAGAGGCAAAGGCAAATGCAAAGACTGCAACAGAGATGCGCTTAGAGTATTCAAGGAGGAGGAACACAGCCGGCAGGGCTGGAATGGAGTTCACAAGGGGAGTGATGAGGACTTCAAGACCATTATAAGGACTCTGGATGGTTCTCTGAATAAAACTATTGTAGAGTTTTGAACAAATTTGAGATCAGAGTCAAGCTCTTAAAGGATCACTCTGTTAAACTGTAAAAATAAGATTACAGAAGCAGAGAGATCACTGGGAAGCTACTGTGATAATCCAGGTGAGACATTTCTGTGTGTACCAGGGCAGTAGTGGCAGAGTGGAAGAGAAATATGAGATTCTGAGGACACACTGAACGAAAATGCTAACGCTCTAATGAAGGGATGAGCTCAATGGAAATTAGATTTCAAAAATTTGGTTTGACAAATGGAAAAATAGAGTTGCCACCTATTAAGAGGGAAGGGGATATCTGAAGGAGAAAACCAGTCGCATTTCGGATTATTTTGGTGTGAAATGTTTATTACACAAGCGGATGGAGATGCCAAGTAGACCAGGTGCTATACAAGTCTGGAGTTTGGGGAGGAAGTCTGTGCTGAAGTTTTACACTTGAAAGCTATCAGCACACTGATGGTACTGAAAGCCATGAGCATGGACAAGAAACCACTGGGATGAGGGAGGGGCTCCTGCAACATGAAAGTTCAGGGTGATGAGGACGAAGCAGCGAGAGAGACTGGAAAGGAGAGGCCAGCGAGATGGAAGAGAACTAAGGGTGTCATCTGCACAAGTGAGAGAAGTGCACTAAGGGGGGGAATGGTCAACTGTGCAAACTGAGGCCCACAGGCCAAGCAGGATGGAAACCGGAAACTGATCGTGGGATACGGCCACACAGAAGCTACTGACCAGCATGACACAGAGCTGTTGAAGTGATGGGAACAGAAAAGCTGAACCAGAGTGCGTTCTAAAGGAGAAGAGCTTTATGTTCAAGTATATTTTTTTTAATCAAGAAAATCAGAGAAAATAAAGCGACAGCTGGAAGGGATGTGGGCTCATGTTTGCACACTGGGAGGAATGAGCCAATAAAAAGGGAAAATACAGGGGAGAAAGCACTAATGCCAAGTAAGTCTGTCAGTAGGTGAGAAGGAGGGGTTACTCTACAAAGTAGAAGATAACTGCAAATTACTTGTAAAATAACGACAGTTCATCCACAGTAGCACACAAGAAGGCTGAATATACAGCAGGTACCTACCAGAGGCACTGCTGTGAGGAGAGGAAAATTCCTTACTGCTTGAATACAAAGTTTGTCCTTGAGATGGAATAAGTCTTGGAGATTTAGAGAGATAGAATTTGAGAGAGTAATTTAGGTGAGTCAAAGAGTGATGAACTGAGCAGTGCCTCTCAATCCTTTTCATACCAGGGTAAACACAAGTAATATCTGGATGACACCCTGGGGAAAGTGAGTAAAGTTACTAAGGACGGGTTGAGATTCTCGGCATCTCCAGGTTCTGTCCAGCTGCCCAAGGTCTAGCGGGATCAATACTCTCAGCAGTCCTGCAATCCAGCGGATTTCTCTAATCCAAATGCAATTACAGTAGAATTGCCAAGCAGCACTAAGGCTGGTATATGTGACTTTGTCATGAGACTGCCTTATGTGATTAGTTCCCCTACCAGGGTCACTGCCTAGATGCCACTCAGAATAGGTGGAGAGTTGGATTTAAACTGACTGGCATTTTCCCAGGCAAATATGGTACCAGGAGAGAGGAGCAAGGGAACTCAGGCCATATACAATTATGTGATTAACATGAAGGATTATTCTTGTCTATAAAATCCTGTTTAAAAAGCTGTAAAAATTAAATGAGACAAGTAATACACCTTCTAGATTTTATAAATTAAGAGCCACTTTAGTTTAACATTTTGTATATCCAATGAGTATCGTATTTCTAAAATCCTAAATAACTTCAAAAAACTTTAATATGTAGGCAGAAAGATTATACATCATACTTCATTTCTGAACAAAACCGCTTAATCAGACAACTGATTACCAAAACTGCATTCTTCTACTTAAGATTCTTGCCAATTTTCTAGAAGAAAATTAAAAAAAAAAAAAAGAAAATTTAGAATCAATTTAACTGTTTTTAACCTTTATAAGGCATTTCGAGCACAAAGTATTATGTGTCTTGGGCCAATCAGCCAAGGCCACCAGAGAAAAACATGTAGTACAACAAAATCAAATTTCTTGACTCACTACGAGAGGGACTGCACACCAGAGGAATCATCACCAACAAATAAAAAGATACAGTTATAGGATTGGGGGCAAGGATGGGATTTAGATAAAATTTAAATGAAAATATTTTAAAAGGCTCACAATAAAGCAGGGCTGTGTGTATCAGGGTCAATACTAGATCTAGACTGTGAAGGAGATCCAGGCTTCTGTTTCCTCGGAAACTACAAAGTTAAGATAAATGTGCAATGTTGTGTCTGCTGCTGCTAAGTCACTTCAATTGTGTCCGACTCTGTGTGATCCCATAGACAGCAGCCCACCAGGCTCCTCTGTCCCTGGGATTCTCCAGGCAAGAATACTGGAGTGGGTTGCCATTTCCTTCTCCAATGTGTGAAAGTGAGAAGTGAAAGTGAAGTCGCTCAGTCATGTCTGACTCTTAGCAACCGGTCCATGGACCACAGCCTACCAGGCTCCTCCATCCATGGGATTTTCCAGGCAAGAGTACTGGAGTGGGGTGCCATTGCCTTCTCCGAATGTTCTGTCTAGAAACACCTAATTTGAAGCTCCACACCTGGAAATCAAGAGTGCTTCTCTACATCAAAGGGACTTAGATTCTCAAGGCAAGAGTGGGATGCTTCTTACTGATACAACTTCAAACAGCAGTTTACTCTTATAATCTATTATTTTCAAGGTAAGGTTTCAAAAAGAATGAAAAGGAAGTAGACTTTCAAGGAAAACATTTTGACATTTTACACTGCACCATGTCCTTGGGAGAAACACTGTTTCTTATTGACTTTGCAGCTGGCTATATCTACCTAATGAATAGCTGGGCTGCTTTTTTACTTCTTCAGGGAGAGCTAACACCAACTTTATCATGTGTCAGAATAGTTTTGTTTTAAAAGGCACAGGTGTAAAACTGCCTTATTTTTATTCATGCCAGTATCTCATCAAATGCCCTTTCATAAGTTTTGTGTTTTTGTTCATACTTATTATAGCCATGTTTCTTAAGTATCTGACTGAATTCATTCATTCATATTTCTTGCTTCTTATTTTAAATTTTTTCCAAGACTCCTCATAATTAAGGTCTAAATTTTTCTGGTCCCACTTTGGATCAACTCTCAAAGAGAGTTGATGTACTCATGAGATAAGAGTTATTTTCAAAGATATTAAAACCCAACTATTTTGGAAAATATTTCCCCATTCAGATGGCAAACTGATGGAAACTATCAGTTCTGACAGCAGTTAAACTGGACTGAAGTATAGGAAGAAAAAGGGAAACTGAAAAACTACACGATTTGCAAATACACATTGCTTCTTCATGGAACCAGTTCAAGTAAAGATGTGGTCTAGACTGCAGTGTTAACATATGTTTAGCTCATAAATAACAACTAGAGAAAGCCTAGGGAAACACAGAGGACGTGTGCTTATAAAGAAAAACAGAGTAAGAGGTCAAATGTCAAAATTAAAATTAGATTCAAGGAGCGCATCTAATTCTTTAAATAACATAATAGGTTTAATATCTTATAATTGGTAAGAGCTTGCTTACTTCATAATTAAACTACACATGTGTAACTTTATGTTTTTGAAAAATACGCCTGGACAAATAAGAGCATCATATGATTAATGAAAACGTCTAAATGACAGGCCCTAAGAATCATGCTCTCGACAGGGCCTATGTGAGACCAGTGACCAGAAGAATCCATTTCCTTTCCAATCACCCTTTGGATATGACATACTTCTCTAGGTTGGAGCTAACAGGGCTGTGTTAGCAATGGACAAAAATGCACGTCACATTAACTGTAGAGTGAACGTAAGGAGTGAAAGTGAAGTCGCTCAGTCCTGTCCGACTCTTTGCGACCCCTTGAACTATAGCCCACCAGGCTCCTCCGTCCATGGGATTTTCCAGGCAAGAATACTGGAGTGGGTTGCCATTTCCTGCTCCAGGAGATCTTCCCAACCCAGGGATTCCACCCGCGTCTCCCGCATTGTAGGCAAACGGTTTACCATCTGAGCCACCAAGGAAGTGAGCCTTGAAAATCTTCTGGGCCAAATGACTCATTTACGGATGAAGAGAATAATACCAAAGGGTATTCTGTTAGTCTAGACTGAGGGCCGGACAACAGCGCCTGTGAGCGGAAGGGTCTTTCTCCCTTCTCTGAGACAAAACCATCACAAAACAAAAGCGACGGAAGGCCTCATTATCAGTTTGAAGCATCTTCAAACTGAGGAACCCTCAGCCTCAAAAACTGAAAACCCCAAAGAATAGATGTGCCCCCCGACAGACCCTCACCGCACCTATTCCTGCCCCTGTCCTCCTCTGTCCTCTTCTTTCCAGAAACCACAAACCTCACCTGATCTTCGCAGTGTCGACTGATAAATTCTCGTACGGAGCACGGGGCCGAACCGCACCACACCGCCTTGCACCCGAAGCCAGGGCCCCGAAGCCACACCAGCGCCGCCGTCCCCGCCATCTCACCCAGTCACGGAACCTCGACACTCCCAAAAGCGCTAAGAACCACCACCCACCCGGCGTAGCTTGATGACGTAAGCTCGCTCATCCAGCGCCCCGCCCCTCACGTTTCCGCCTGCACCGCCCCTCCCCTGGGGACAGTCACGTGGCCTGAAGCAGCAGAGCAAAGCTGACTGGGGGAGGGGAACAGGAAGGGCCTGGCAGAGGCCGATAAGAAGGCAGAGCAGCGGGGCGAGGCGTTGCTAAGAGAAGTTGCTAGGGCGGGGCTCGAGGGACTCTCTATAAAAGGCTGGCCCGGGGTTAGGTTTCCAGTGTTCTGGCCATAAACGATAAGGTAACTAAGTGCTTTCTTGGGTCTCATGCTTTGGCCTTTTCCGCCTATCTGTGTAGTTATTTTTGGGTCGCAGGGAGTCGTGCCCTGAGAAGGCGCTGCTCCCTGGGGGCTTGAGAAGGGAAGCTGCAGTCGCGGAAGCGGTTTTGGGGGGCTGCTTCCTCGGCTCTGGGGAGCTCCCCCCACTCTAGGGGCAAGGGAAACGGAGGTGGGGAGGTTTCTAAACAACAGCTCTGGGCGGGTTTTTCCTCCAGGTTTACCAAGCCTTCTCTTCCTTTGCGGAAACTGCCAGCCTCTCGGTTTCTGCCAGCCACGCTCAGTTTATTCGTATTTCCGCCTGTTTGCGCTCTGCGTTATCTTCACTTCAGCTCGGTTTTCAAAATATTTCACAGCAAGTGGGCCCTTGTGAAAGGCAGTGGCAGGAGTGACGCTTATAGTGATGCTGCTCTGAAAAACCCTGCCATAACTTTTATTCAGCACCATGGAAACACTCGCACATATTTGCATCGTCTAACTTTAAGGCTCTGGGAATCTGAAGAAGTCCCTTAATGTTTAATATGCTGAGGTTATGGTATTTATAAAATCCTGAACAATTTAAAAGCCACGAAATAGGAGATATCTGTATCTGTTAAACACGATTGTATCAGCCCACAGAATCGAATTCTCTGCGTCTCAGATCTTTAGCAAATGAAACTGCTGAAGGGAAAGGAACGAAAAATTCAGAAATCATTTTAACCGGAGGTATGAACAACAGAATCTCAAGACCTCTGAAGTTATAGATTCCTTTGTCTTTATTTCACTTTCACAGAAAGAAAAATGAGAAAGGGCCTCCATGGGAATGCCAGGAGATAAAGAAAAATTACACAAAATAATAATACTGTGCCTAGAGACCAGTGTTTTGCAAAGTGGGTGACATGGTGACCCCAGAGTCAGTAAATGTCTCACCAAGTATTTATCTTCTAATAAGGGAAGTCCACATCGTTACTATCATTATATCTAATCCTTCCAAAACCTCGTTTAAATGAAATTGTTCCTTTATCCCTTTCTTGCATTTAAATTCCTACTGTTAAAAATCCCAAGTATTAAAAAAAAAATTGAAAAGGCATTTGTCATTTAAAATACGCAATAACTATTATTAACTTTTCAAAGACAAAAATCTCCTGAGTAATATATAATCTGTTGTTAAATCTTCCCAATAAGCACTTAGCATGGTGGCACCATGGCACACACAAAGTAGGTATTAAATAAATATTAGGTGGATATTTGATGAATTACTAAGGTAGACAGTCTAATTATTCCCAATACATATCTGAAGAAACATGTCTGCCTGCATGTGTGCTCCATCACGTCCGACTGTTTGTGACCCCCATGGACTCTAGCCCACCAGGCTCCTCTGTCCATGGAATTTTCTAGGCAAGAATACTGGAGCGGGCTGCCAAGTCCTCCTCCAGGGGATCTTCCTGGCCCAGGAATCAAACCCGCGTTTCCTGTATCTCTTGCCCTTGCAGGTGGATTTTTTACCACTGTACCACCATAGTTAGCACTAACAGAACACTTTGTCTCCTGAAGATGCAGCTTCAACTTGGATTAAATTAATGAATACATTTAAATAATGAGAAAATTAAGGTACCCAAAGTTAGGGCTATGGCCAAGAAAACAGTGCACATCAGTGGGGAAAAAAAAAATCTAGAAAGACAGCTGATTGGCTGCATGGTTGAGAGTGTGTGGTGGTGTCCAGTAGACAGTGTTATGTGCCAGGCTGGTTGTGGAAAAATAGACAAATCTGCCACCTTTCCAACCTCAGTGTAGGGAGAAAAGGGACAGGAAGACACATGGGGGTTTATGACACTAAATGGTGAGCGGTTGGGGGCCAGTTCCTCTGCTGTTAAGAGTGTGTAGCTGTGCTGTTAGAACTGTATTTCGTGTTCTTGCCAACAAACCACATGAGGTTTGTTTCTGCCCATCTTCTCCAAACGACTGACTCTAGCTACACATTTGCTTTTTGAAGACTGGTTCAGCCACCACAAGAAGGACACTGTGAGAGCATCCTGAGGCAATGTGGGATAATTGTTCACTGCCAGGAAATGACAGCTCCAGACAATGCTTGTGAGGCAACCCATGACAGAGGCCAACCGAGCCAGAATGTCATGCTGGTCTGCAAGAACAGGAAGCAGAGCTGCACACTCTGGCAATTTTCATAAATGACAGCAAAGCTACTGAACTAGTGAATTCACAGGCTACATCCACATGTGACATGCAAGTCGTCCTTCTGTGTTTTCAGCCACGTTTGTGCTCAGAGGAGGTGAACAGAGGTTGTTAATGCCGCCCTTAGGACAAAAGACAATGGTACAGGCCGACACTTCCTGTGCCACAAACGCAAAACTGCTACAAACTCCCCAGTTGGCAAGTGTCGCCTTGTAGATGGCTCCAACCCCAGAAACAATGAGGTCAGCTCCTAGGATGGAAAAACAGCTTCTGGGTAAAAGCTGTGTAGTCCATACTGGGTGATGGTTGATGTGGGAGGTGGAGCCTGAAGCAAGGACCCAAGATGTTTGGCTGCCAGTGAAGACACAGCTCCACCCTCCTTCCTTTATTGGACAGAAGAAAACAGGACACATCAAGGATGAGGTGGAGTTGAGAGGTGGAGAGGTTTGTGTTTAGCTCTGATGCTGGGAAGGATCTGGAGAGGGCAGAAGAGGAGAGTATGGTAGAAGCACAGCGAAGAGATAAAAAGCTGGCCTCACAGTCAGTGCTGAAATGTAGAAGCCTAGCTCTTTGTAATATCAGCAAGAAGAAAACATCTTCACTCAGGGTGGACTGAGATCAGTAAATTCTATCACCCCTGATTGCCCTAGATATTATCTTGTTTGTGTTATCATGTCAACAGTAGCTTCCCAAGGCTTATTTGGTATCATCATTGTTACATCACCATCAAATAATGTTGTTATATTAAAAAGGCTGAATTTCTTTCATGCTGTTCACAGTACTAGAACTATAAAGCAAAACTGACAGAGCACCTATCTTCTAGAAATTTAGTATCTCAGCATTGGGATTTTTTCAACATTGAAATTTAATTTCTCTCTAGTCAACAGAAATCTGCAATCCCTTTATGAATTTTGCACAGCCAAACCTTTTAAAAGGGAATTTTTCTGCTGGAGAAGTGATAAGCCTTTAGAAGTATTTCTTCCTTTAATTAATTGACATTAGTATATGTCCACTGTGTTAGGATTCTCCAGAGAAACAAAGTGAATAGAATATAACAAATAGAATAGAATAGAATAGAATAGAATAGAATAGAATAGAGAGAGAGACAGACAGACAGACATACAGACAGACCGAGAGAGAGCAACTATATAAGAGAGAAAGAGAGAATTATTGTTAAGAATTGGCTCACACCTCATGCAATTAAGGAGGCTGACAAGTCACAAGAGCTGCAGGATGAGTGGGCAAGCTGGAGACCCAGGAGAGCCTGGTGTAGTTCTCAACTGAAGGTCAGCAGGTGAGCCAAGGTTTTGGTTCTAGTCTAAAGGCAGGAAAAAGCTGATGTTCTGATTTGAAGGCAGTCCAGGTAAAAGGAACCCTCCTTTACTGGGAGGAGGGTCAAGCTTTTTACTGTATTCAGGCCTTCAACTGCTTGGATGGGGCCCACCCACATTAAGGGAGGGCAGTCTGCTTTGCTCAGTCTACTGGTTCAAATGTTAAGCTCATCCAGAAACACCCAGAATAACTTCTGACCAAATGTCTGGGCACCTCATGACCCAGTCAAGATGACACATAACATTAACCATCATATCCATTAACTAGAGTTACCTTTAGTAAAGAAATAAACTTCACTATTTTAATTTTATTTTGCACCTGAAGAGGAAATTTATTTGGCAAATGGACTGAGAAAAAGTCAGATGTTTCTTACTTACTCCCTAGAGGTTTTGCTGTGTGAACTCAGGAAACTCATCTGACTGCTTTGTGTACCTGCTTCTAAATGGCTGAAGAGCTACCCAACAACTGTTGTTAGAATGCATCTTTGTACCACAGGGTGTGGTCAAAGTTCATATGGTGAAATCCTTTGAAAGTTTTTGAATGAAAGGTGTTGTACCTCATTAATTAAAATGCGGGGGTCATTGGTCAACTGAAATAAACTTCTAGGTTAAATAAATTAACTAGATTTTCCTTAATAACTCAGCTGTCTGGCTAACTCACCTACCTAAGAACACAGTTTTTAAAAATAAAAAATAAAATAAGCCCCAAAGTCTCTACATAGCTAAAGACTAAATTTTTCTTATAGAACCTTAGACTATTTTAGTTTTAGAAAGGATTCTAAGGGAATGCCACTGGACTCGACAGTCCAGTGGTTAAGAATCCACCTTCCAAAGCAGGGGATGTGGGTTCCATCCCTGGTTAGGGAATTAACATCCTACATACCAAGGGCCTACGAAGCCTTCATCACAACTAGAGAGCCTGTGCACCACAGTGAAGACAAAACTAAAAATAATAAAATTTAAAAATAAAAAATAAATTTCATCTTATAAAAAATAAAAAGGATTCTAAGAAGGGTAATGGTCTGCTATGAAAAATTAGTAAGTTAATATAAAGTAAATTATATGAGGGACTTCCCTGGTGACTCATGTTAAAGAATCTGCCTGCCAATGCCAACCAGAGTTCGATCCGTGGGTCAGGAAGATCCACTGAGAAGGAAATGGCAACCCACTCCAGTATTCTTGCCTGGGAAGTCTCATGGACAGGG